CCAAATAGGGTCACAGAGAATCAGATGTGACAAAACAACAGAAACAGTGGCGTTCCATGTAGTTGTGCAATCCTTTTCAGTGAGGAGGGTTTCAGTGCTGGAAGGGCCTCCCCAGTGGTTGTGCACTCCATCCAACAGCAGGGGATGCTCAGGGAAAAGGCCAGTCTTACATGGTTCTCAGAGGGCTCTTACCTCTAGGTCTCAGCTCCAGCCTTTTGTGGGTGGCAGCTGCTGGCCTTGTTAGTCTAGGGGGTGGGGTCAGGGTTTATCTAATTAGAATCTTGGATTGAGCCCCAACCCTTGGGGAAAACTCCACCCCTTCCCTGATGCTGTATTTCAATGAATCCTAATCACTTGACCATAGGATAATGGAGCTGACCACAGACATGGCTTAACTATTTACAGTCTTTACTTATGACCAGAGAAGTAAAAGGAATATAATAAAAATACATTAAAATAATTACCTTGAAGTCCATTTGCCTACAGTCTCTTCCAGACCCAGGTGGCCACAGCCATTCTATAGTCACACCCCAAACCTAGATATAGCTCTCATGTCTACACTCAGCTGCTCCGGGTCCCAGATGTTGTGTTTAGCAAACACACCCGAAGCCCATGATCTCCCGGAAGGTCATAGTATGCAATGTGAACCCCATGAAGACAAGGGCTGTTTCACTGTTGTCTAGCACGGGCCCTGGCATGCAGTAGGTGATTAATAAATGCTTGCTGATTGTTTGGGGACCCAGGGACCCAGGTGTGGTGGCTACTGATATCAGCTACTACCACTGTCCACCCTTATAACAACTACTGGTCCTGCCTTCTGACTTCTTTGCGGTATGGAGAGTCAGTGACTGTACTGGAATGGTATCTCCAGGTCGTTTATTCCATATGGAGTGAAAAGCACAGTCAAGAACAGCCCAGGCAAGGGGGAACTTGCTTTTTTCTTGACCTTGTACCATCACACTTCAAACATCTGGGCTGGCTCATTTCTCTCCTTGTTTGCACCCTCACCAACTTCAGGTGTTTTGATCACATTGGCTTTATGGGAAGAGTCCAGGAAATAGAGGTAAGCTGTTACATAAGCAAAGGCACAGATGTAGGGGAGCACAGGGCATGGTACAGGGGTATTAAGTGGTACCCACATTGGTATACTCAGAGGGGAATAACATGATTTAAGCCTAAAAAAGGTGGGGTAGCACCAGATTGGGGAGGCTTTGAATGCTTGGTGGAGAAAATTTACCTATATTTAGTAGGGAAGAGGAACTCATTAAATATTCTTGAGCTTAAGAGCTGTGGGGCCTAGTGTATTCCAACAGTGGTGTGGAGAACAGGTAGGAAGACAGATGACTCAGTAGAGGGGATCTGTTAGGAGGTTGCTATGAGGGTCCAGATGGGTAGTAGTAATGAGGCCTTCTAATAGGATGGTAGCTGAAGAAATAAAAAAAGGAAAGAATGGATGTGAGAGATGTTTGGAAAGTGGAATGTATAAGACAAAAATGGAAGAGGGAGAGGTTACTTTCTTCTGAAAGTAACTGAGGAATCATGGAAGGCTTCATGGAAGAGGTGTTGCCGAAGCTGAGGTTTGAAGGAAGAGAGTAGGAGAGAGGAAGAGGCTTCCCAACTCAGCAGATGCCTTAGATGATTCCTCAGAGGAGGGGAGCAGGACAACATCAGAGTACAGCTGGTAGCATAGTGTGGCTACACGTAGCTGCAGGGAAGTGCATATAGGGAAACACTGTGAAATCGTGCTGGGAAGGAACCGGAGCCAGAGATGATGAGGGGCTAGACCAGGGCGGGGGCAGCAAGATGGGAGAGGAGGATGGAGCAAGAAATGTTACAGAGGCACCTGAAACCCTATAGTGTGACACGAGGCAAGAGTCACACTCCTGCTCATTCAGTATGTGAAAGGTAGCAGGATCAATGAAAAGGAGGGACAATGTGGGATGGTGAAAAGAACACTGGCAGTGGAGGGAGAGGCCCTGGGTTCAAATCCTGGCTCTACCACTCACTACCTGGGTGGGCCGGGGCAAGTCACTTTATCTCCCTGGGCCTCGGTTTCCTCATCTATAAAATGGGGGGATGGCTTGTGCTGTCAGCTGAAGTCCCTTTCAGCTCGAGAGCCATAATCCTGTGACGGGAAGATGGGGGGGCCTCAGTAGAACTGGGGAGAAGGAGCGGCAGGTTTCCTGGGTTTGTTTTGGGGTCTTGGGGGGACATAGATGTAGAGATTCCAGACTGGAGCTGAGGAAAAGATAATGGCTGGAGATGGCGATTTGGGAGTCATTTGCATAGATGATAATTATACCCATGAGAGTCAATCAGATCACTGAGTGAGGAAAGAGGAAAAAGAGAAGAGCCTTGAGGGGGACACCTACACTTAGGGAGCAGGAGGAGGGTGAACCAGTGAAAGAGACACACAAGGTGAAGACCGAGAGGATACCTAGGAGAGAGCAGTTCACAGAAGCCAGAGGGAGGGGGATCGTATAATGGGGGGAGGGGGATGGAGAATGGGATGGAGAAAGAGATGGAGGGTGAGAAGGAGGGTGGGA